GTACACGGTTTGAAAATTGAATATTTTTAATCTTTTAGACGATTTTATTTCATTTAGCACGATTTGAAATTTTATGTACATAATTTTTTTTGTAAAATTTAATTTTTGCGAAGTATGTTCATATCACAAAAAAAAAAAATATTTATGAAAGAAAAAAGTCAGAAACCATCGATAGTATCGATAGTTTGCGAACACTAGCTTAAAGTTTTAGTGAATTCCCATTTAGCGCGTACAAACAATTTTTACTGGTCAAAGCAAATGTAAATAGCACTAATTTAGGGGAATTCCCTTTATGTATAAGATCAACTTCTTTTTTTACACGGTTTTTACACGGCTTCTTCTGGAACCAATCTACCGTGTAAAAACAGACTTAGGTGTACAAATAATTGTGTTCGTCCATTGCAAGGTATATTAAGAAGGTAACCGTATCAAACCAGCTGATGGTAACATTATATGTCATAACAATTTGTTGTTGTTGTTTTTGATTTTTTTTTCAATCCCATTTCCAAACAAAATTTTAAAAATTGAAATATATTTGAAAATAAAGAAAAAAAGGATAAAAGGCATAACGATAGGCTATGGAGATGATATTTCTTCAAGAAGACCATGGAATCAAAAACAAGACTTTGGGATCAAAAAGAAGATTTGGTTCGATAGGACCTTTTTGTCTTCTTTATATATTGTTTCCAAAAACTTCATGTGAGGGCATGACAAAACTACGTAACAAATAGCTTAAATCTTGTTATCTTGTTATGGGAATTCAAAAACTCTCGGAACATGTCACATGGGCGATACATTCCAAACCTCTTGAAGGGGGGCGCACAGTGTCACGACCGCGGCAAAAATGGTCAAAACCAAGTACCACGGAGGACAATTTTTTTGATGAGGATTGACACTCCAATTAGAATAAATATGAAATTTTTTTTATCGATATGTCGAGTAGTTTTGTCTCTACAAAGGTTCAAATCTGATAATTATTTATAAACTGAGTTTTTGCCATATTTTCGAAAAATGGGTGTGTTTTTCTGATGCTCAAATATTTGAATATTCAAATTATCGGTTATATCGGTTATAAAGGTGTTTATTTTGATTGCTGTGGATGTAAAAACTAGGATTCGCTTTAGTTTGTATGTATATAGATATCATATGTCGTCCACACTTGTAGTACTTAGTTTATCAAATTTTTAAAACAAATTTTGAAATTAGTGGAGTAGAAAAAAAGTTTAGCTCTAATTTTTTTTTTATTTGAGTGGTGAAAAGTGTGTTATTTAAGGAATAAAAAAAAAAAATTAGCTGCGGAGTCCTGCGGTCCTAAGAGTTATTTAACTTTTTTTGTGACCACCTTATGAAAAAATATGGCATATTCATGAAATGGTTACAAGCGAATGGTCAAATATGTTATGTATACAATTAAATGAGTTATTGATGTTCAAATAGGAAGGAGAAGATGGATTCAGAACATAGTAATAATACAATATTTTACATAAAATATGCAATTAAGTGGTAAAAACGTTATTCGAAGCGGAGATATGGGAGCTATATTTTAAAACCAAAAATATAGCTTTTAAATAAATTTTTAGTCAGTTTGAAGATTATATTTATTTCTCAGATTATTTGAGACATAATCTTATAATCTAAATTTAGGGGTCGCACATGAATTACCTTTGTGGAAAGTTCATACAGAAAAATAGTAGTTCAAGTTCATACAGAAAAATGAGCGACTTTCACAAGATGCTAACAAGTCATGCCAACAAATAATTAGTAGCAGCCCAAACTTTTGTTAAAACCGAGTTAAATATGGATTTTATTTAATATTTTGTATTACAATCCGACCTTGTAATATCCTTAAACAGCCATAAAGGCCAAGACTATCCTTCTCCAAATTTCACAACCGATGGTTATTAACGGTACCGAGTAGTGATTAGTAAATCGACTTTCGACTAATCGATTAATAGACTTTTTCTATGGAAAAGTCTAAAAGTCGAAGTCGACTTTTGATCTTTGAGAAAATCGCAAAGTCGACTTTTCAAGATCGACTTTCGATTTCCTTCATAAATTCTTGTTTTATTATCATGAAGCTTAAATTGCTCAAAAATTTCACATTCCAGAACTTTTTTTTATCTGTTTACAACAATTCATATAAAAAATGAATTTTTTAGATGATACTGCATTACTAGATAAAATTCGAAAATCGATTTTGACAAAATCGAAAGATCGAAAAGTCGACTTTTTAGTCAAAGGCAAAAGTCGAAAAGTCTAAAAATCGACTTTTTGGTCAGAGGCAAAAATCGAAAAGTCTAAAAGTCGACATTTACGCTCCACTACGTATCCCTAGTACCGAGGTATATAAAAATTATAAACCTGCAACTAATCTACAAAAATACATTTTTTGGTAAAATTATAAAAGGTAACTTGAATACTCAGCTGATTTGATTCGAAGGTAATACTCGTGTCGATAGGAAACTGTCGCAACAGGAAATTTGGAAAAATGTCATTATTGTTTTGGGGATGTCTATCAAGCAAAGGCGTGATAGCATTAGCTCAAATGCGGCTTCTTTATATCTGTAGCAATGTTTTGGATACGCTTGCCTTAAAAATCCCGATCTTACCTATAGAAAATTTGTGGGTATATTTGAAAAAAAAAGTAGCTAAATGAAAAATGTTTAAAAACTGCAATATTCCAAACCATTATCACTTGCAAAAGAAATTTAAGAGGAAATGATTACAAAAATGTAGTGAAATCCAAAACTGATGGGAACAAGTGTCTTGAGTTTATTAATTTAAGGGCACTACCCCGATCCATTTTGGTCCGAGGAGGATTCGAAGATCGCCAAGATTTCCACGAAGTGCAGAGAAAAATTGACCTAGGTCCCATCCGCGACCCGGGAAGGCGCGCCTAGTAGAAGGATTGGGAACTCCCCTCTCTCCATCTTTTTTCTTTTCGTAGATGATCACAATGGACCTGACGGTCTCAGAGTGCTGCAGCCACATATGTGACTGCCCATTCCCAAACCCATGATACAATAATAAGATGATGTATCAAAACAAAAACCTTTGTTTTTGTCTCGATTATCTGTCAAAAATTTTCCATATAATATATCACATGGTTGACAACACTGTCCATCGAATTCAAGTAGAAATTACGCACTTTGACAGTTAATCGAGACATCAGCTGCTCTAAATGGACTACCTATTTATTGTGCCATGCCCAAACCTAACCTACATGACATAATTATACAAGGTAGTCTCATGCAGTCATATGTTTCCAAATTAAAAAGGGTTGCCATCATCAAATTCTTAAATGAGACTACCTTCTGTAATTATGCCATGGGCATAGTCAAGGCACAATGAGTAGTTAGTCCATTTAGCGCAGCTGATATCTCGATTAACAGTCAAAGTGGGTAATTTCTACTTGAATTCAATTTGCAGTGTTGCCAACCATTTGAAATATAATTTAGTTAACCCAGTGGATTTTAATTGTCAACTCCTTTGCATATTTGTCAAATAAATCCTTATGAAGTAGGTTAACCCTGCAAAAGTTCTAATGTAAATCCCTTTTAAATGCGCCTTGACTTCCCGAAGCAGTATGTCTTCTGCAGTCTTATGCCAAAGTGTTCGGACTTATTGCCTTATCAGGCAAAATCTCGCACACGTGCTCTCTCGCGAGAGTAAACATTACCCTACTCTCGCACTCATTCTATTGAAACAACTTAAAAATCACGTCCTTACGCTCTGCCCATGCTAATTTATTATGTCACCACGTCCAAGGTCTACAAATCAGGTCATTCAGAAAGAACCGCCATTATTATGAATTGACTTCCATTAGGAAAACGTAAAGAAAGTCCATATTTTTGAAATTAGACATGAGAAAAAATCGCTGACTTTCGCTAGCTGGGTGACCTTATAAATAGATCTTGACCACGTCATTGCCATCGAATGCAAAAAAGGACAAGCGGGGTTTTACATTTATTTGGATCGGGATTGGTGTTGAGAGTTTGTCTCTCTCAGTGGTAAATTGTGAATTGTGTTGGAAAACATTACAACAGGTAGAAACAAAAAAAATACGAAAAGGTACCTAAAATTCTACTTCAAATGATAATAAATCATAATTATCGAGAAATATTGGCCAACATTTTGTACCAGTTCTTTGCATAAATAATATATGTTATAATTTAAGCGTAAATGTATTCACGAATAATAAAAATAACATCTAATTTTGGTTTTGGTACGTTTATGTCAATTCGTAACTTTTGTGAACAAAAAGTACGCTTGTTACAAAATTAAAAATAGCGCAACACTAAAGCGGTGTACACACTATCATTTTTGACTGTCAACTTTTTTATCGATTACTGACTGTCCAACAACCATAAATATTTTTGTGGTTGCCTGATGAATGACAAACATGTGAGGCCACACTATCAAACAAACAAACAAAATTTGGGCAAGAGTGCCATTCAAAAATGCTAGTGTGTTCACCGCATAATAACTCTCAATTTACCGTGAGATAGAAAAACTCTCAACACCAATCCCGATACCGATAAATGTAAAACCCCGCCAACAGGGAAACAATAGCTTTTTATTTAGGTTGTTATCGATATCAATAGATGGTAATATCGTTAATGCAATTCATTTCTTTTCATTCGCAATCAATAACTCAAAGCGGCCGGCCGGCTAATAAGAAAGTGCAAAAACAAAAAAAAAAAACAAATTAAAATAAATAACTTTTACCAGTTACACTATATATATATTTTTTGGAGATCTATTATTGAGAAAACTTAATTCTTATTGGAACAACTTTTCTTATTACGTTCAGCAGTAACAAAGCAACAGGTATGACCGATGTAGGATTTCTGTTGTGAAATTGTTCATAGCTAACATACACACACACACACTACATTGGCATTCATTATTTCAACATATAGTTTAGTAATACACAAATATATAATTAATTAATTAATTATCAAACAATATATTACTATAAACTTAAAAACAGAAACAATATGCCGATAACAGAAGCTGACAGAGACAAAGCAGAACGTTTATTCTATATGGCTCAGGAGGCAATGAGGAACGATGACTTGGAAAAGGCAGAAGAATACTTATTAGAAGCCAATGAATTATGTCCAACGGAATATGTTACAGGTATGTTAAAAATTTTATAAATTATTATTTGATAATTTCGTACGCTTAATAGTGCTTAGAGTGCGAGGGTGGGAGGGAGAGTGCAGAAATTTAAATGGAAATGTTGTGAAATTCAAAACCGTTGACACCAAGCGTTTTGCGGCACCACAGATGGAACAAAAAAGAAAAAAAAATATTAAAAGAAGTGTTGTGAAATTCAAAATTCATGTTTATCAAGAACAATCTTTTGTGGCTCCGAAGCAACATGAATTGCTAGATTCATAGGTTGCTATAATGGGGATGCTCTCAGTTATATTTGAAGACTACATATCATTTTTTCCCGCCAAAATTTCTGTACGTTAACAGAATACAGTTGAATGCTCTGTGTTTGTGCTTCTATTATAAGTTGTTAGTGTTATTCGTTTCAGCATAGTGAGTATGAGTATAGATAAAGAGATAATGAGAACAGTATATATGTTTGCCTATAATTTTCTCAAACAGATAAAACAGTTACTGTTGGGAATACCATAAATACTTATTGTATTCAAAGTAGTGGCTGGCAACTTTTCATCGACTACATCGATATTAATACTCAGTGTTAATTTTTAAAGTAGTGTCTCGAACCATACAAATTTATTAGTTAAGTTTTCAACTACATTATTTCGTGAACTAAGTCATTATATTTAATTTTGTATTTTTTTAGAAATAAGACCACTTTTTACTTAACAGTGTTTAAAATTGGAATTTAAAAAAAATGAAAGATATATATTTTTTAATTAGATTTGTCAAAGACGAAATCTCACTCGGAATGTTGCCGATGAATTTATCGACGAATGGTAGTTAATAAGGTGAGGCATCACTAAAGCGGCCATCGCCATATAAAATTCGCCGATCAAAATCATGGTGGGTAGTTTGAGGGGTAGTCGATGTGTTTTTGTGGTAGTTGGCAAATTCATCGACGTGTTGTCGACTACCATTTACTGCAGGGTACTTAATAATACACAAATGAAAAAAAAACTGCATATGCAACAGTTGTTGTATGTTACTTATTATTAAAAGTAAAGTAAAAATAGATATTGGGCGTAGGTCATTAAGATCAAGAAAATTTGTGTAATAAAATCGTTTAGTGACTGCTCTATCTGCCTATTGTTAGCTGTAAAATTCGGAGATGCAAATATGTATATTTATATTCTAATTTTAGGTCGTACAATTGGCATTTCATTACCAATTTTTTTCTTTGATTTTCAGGTAGCATTGCGATAATACGTGAACGTCGTACAAGTGTCGTTCCTAGTAATGCTGAACCTCCCGAATATACCACCGAAGACTTGGAAGCTGTTAATAGAATAAACAATAGCAATGATTTTTATGAAATTTTAGGCGTTACCAAGACAGCAACGGACGCCGAAATTAAGGATGCCTATAAGAGATTGGCTTTACAAGTGCATACAGATAAAAATCGTGCCCCTGGCTCTCTTCAAGCTTTTCAGTTATTGCGCAATGCTGCTGATATTCTAGGCGATCCCGAAAAACGTAAACTATACGATGCACGGAGAAAGAAAGAAGAAGAAGAAGCTACTGTGAATTCCACGGCACGGAGAAAGAAAGAAGAAAACGAAGCTACTGTGAATTTCACGGCAAGTTGAACATTAATTTAATAATCTGAATATTAATCTTAATAATCATGTATTTCTTTTTAGAAGCAGCATCAAGTTGAAAAATCAGATAATAGTCTTATTTCAAATCCTTGGGTTTGGATTGGCGGTACGATTGCTTTCTTATCGGTCGGTTATCTATTGGCGCGTTCATTCGATTCGAAACCAGCCGAAGGAGATCGTTCTAACCGGTCTGGAGCAGGAAGTAACATGAGAAACGGCACTACTTCATGTAATGCAACAAAAAAATAAATTTCAATCTATTTTTTTATATTTGGATATTTGCTAACCCTAATATTATATATTCAAAATTTTGTACTAATGTTCTGGACATCCCAAAAATTATTCTGAGTTCATTAAGAAAAATACTAATTACATTACTTTTGTTTTATATGTATTATGTTTAATTTTTTAACGTTCAACCAATGTTTTTTTATAATTATATTATTATTTGTGTATTTTTATTTCTTTTTTTGGGGTGCCAAAGTCATACATGTTTGTCCATATATACGGTAAATGGAAAATGCATAACTATACAAAAAATTATAATTATTCGAATTGTGCCAACTTAAAAAAATATCGCTTATAAATGTCATATATTCTTTATACATATATATATATATATATAGTTTTATATATGTCGATTGACATTTTTTTCAATATATTAAACAAAATATATTCTCTAAAGCTGAACATTGCTCTCAAGACTTAACCATTTAGATATATTTCGATAGAAGATATTTTCATTTAAATTTTGAAAGCTGAATGCTGTCATAGCCAAATGTATGAAAAAAATGGAAACATATTTCAATGTGAAACATTTTCCCAAATTTGGTGTGCTCCATTCCGAATTCCCAAAAAAATAATGGGAATATAATTCGAGCACATATAGCCTTGTGGATTGAAAACGAAATGAGATCGTACGTGTTTTTCTGAGCACGTACAAGTTTAAAAAGAACGCTGAAGTAATCACCCCTATTCTGTATGTCGTCGTCGACACGAAACGACGTCGAAGAGAGTCGTCTTTTGCAAATTGGTATTCCCTATGTCGTTGTCGACATTTATCGATAACTATTGAAACATTTTTGGTATTCCGTAACAATGTGTGACGACGACGATGTCGAAGATTTCTTCGTCATAGTTTTTGTTGACGACTGAAGCGTTTGAACATTTTTTTTTTAAATTAAAAAAACGACCGGACAAGAACAGGATAAATAAAGAAAAATATATGGGATCTATATATAAATCTAAACCGATTTTGACCAATGTCAATAGGACTCGTCTATGTAGAAATAAAATTTCATCCCAATTGGATGGATTTTTTCCAAATTTCATCCCGTTCGGATCATAATGGTGGCATGTAACTTGTTTAAAATAATACATGAATGGAGGGACCATGGCCTATAAATAAGGTCACCAAGGGAGACCAGCTGATAATCGATACTTCTCAAGTTTGCTGTCAAAATGCATTATTGTGAATTGACTTCCATTATGAAAACGTAAACAAAGTCGAAATTTTTGACATTAGACTTCAGAAAAAACAGCTGATTTCCGATTTCGATTGCTATCTTGGTGACCTTATTAATAGATCTTGGGAGGGACATGCATAAATCGACTGAAAAATAATTCTATGTACATACTATATACTAAAAAGTAAATATGGGTCTATCTCGTTTCTTTTTGGTCGTTGCAAACACATTTACCAAGACATAATGCCCTGTGCCACAGTGCGGTGAAGGATACAAACACATTTTTGCCCAAAAATATGCAATAAAATTTTTGTTTTTATTGATATTATCGATAAATAGTCGACATCGTCGCATGAGTGTTACAGAATACCAAATCAGTGTCGAAGTGATGTCGATGTCGATGCGAAGTGATGTCGAAAGAGAAACGTCGTCGACAACGACGACGACATACGGAATAAGGGTGAATATTTAACGTGTTTTTACAATATTTATTTAAAAAATACAGTATTTACATTAGTTTTTATAGTAAAATTAAAGAAAATAAAAAAGGGCTCCTCCTGGTCTGCAGCTGTTCACAGCTTGCACACACTTTGTCTTCCAGGACTTTCATTACTCTCCACAAAATTTTACAAATTGTTGTGCGATCAACACTTATTTTTAAATCATTCGCCACTACCCTCTGAAATCCACCAACAGCCAGGAATCTTAAGGTAGCTGCTAACTGCAGGCTTTCGGGAATGGTACCCTTGTGTATGAAAGGACCAACTTCTCTCAAAATATCCATAAATGCTTATTTTAACACGTTCCAGTATCATTAGACTTTTTCTGGTAGAAACCTGGGCAATTAATAAGCCAGCAGGCATATTGTTTCTTAATTTTGTTGTTAAACAAATTGCAAATTCCAATGTAACATATGTTTTTTATTGAACACATTTCGTAACATATTGAACACAGCTATGCTTTCGAGCCTCACTTTCGCTCGAAATTGAGCACACCATTTTGCACAACATGGGAATTTAAAAAAAGTATGGGAATTCAAAAACTCTCGGAACATGTCACATGGGCGATACATTCCAAACCTCTTGAAAGTGGGCGCACAGTGTCACGACCGCGGCAAAAATGGTCAAAACCAAGTACCACGGAGGACAAATTTTTTGATGAGGATTGATAGAAAACACTCAAATTAGAATAAATATGAAATTTTATATCGATATGTCGAGTAGTTTTGTCTCTACAAAGGTTCAAATCTGATAATTATTTATAAACTGAGTTTTTGCCATATTTTCGAAAAATGGGTGTGTTTTTCTGATGCTCAAATATTTGAATATTCAAATTATCGGTTATTATAAACGTGTTTATTTTGATTGCTGTGTATGTAAAAACTAGGATTCGCTTTAGTTTGTATGTATATAGATATCATATGTCGTCCACACTTGTAGTACTTAGTTCATCAAATTTTGAAATTAGTGGAGCAGAAAAAAAGTTTAAAAAAGTTTAGTTCTAATTTTTTTTTATTTGAGTGGTGAAAAGTGTGTTATTTAAGGAATAAAAAAAATTAGCTGCGGAGTCCTGCGGTCCTAAGAGTAGTTTAACTTTTTTTGTGACCACCTTATGAAAAAATATGGCATATTCATGAAATGGTTACAAGCGAATGGTCAAATATGTTATGTATACAATTAAATGTTATTGAGGTTCAAATAGGAAGGAGAAGATGGATTCAGAACATAGTAATAATACAATATTTTACATAAAATATGCAATTAAGTGGTAAAAACTTTATTCGAAGCGGAGATATGGGAGAATTGGTTTTAAACTATAGCTTTTAAATAAATTTTCAGTCAGTTTGAAGATTATATTTATTTCTCAGATTATTTGAGACATAATCTTATAATCCAAATTTAGGGGTCGCACATGAATTAACTTTGTGGAAAGTTCATACAGAAAAATAGTAGTTCAAGTTCATACAGAAAAATGAGCGACTTTCACAAGATGCTAACAAGTCATGCCAACAAATAATTAGTAGCAGCACATCTATTATTGCACATAAACATACAAAGACATAGAAATCTTAAAGTGGCCCGTAAATGGTCATGCATGCATGACATGCATTTTGTGGTGTTAGTGAAAATTTGTATGTATGTGTCACACCTACGATGCATGAAGCAAAATTCAAAATTTTTGGCATGTATGATGTTCGATTTTGACGTGTGTGCGGTGTAGGCATCATGCATATTCTCATTTGTGACGTTTTTTCAAAGGGAATGCCTGTATAGAGAAGTCGGATACTGCGAAAAAAATGTTATAGAGTTGTTGGAAGTATTCCAGTCGTTCTCAGCCATTTTTTCAGCATTTTCTCTATTTTGTAAGCACTAGGACAAAATCGAAAAAATTGTTTCGTCCGTTGTCGACAAACTGCATTTTGACAACCTAGTTTATGAAAACATTTCTTGGGGGAATCAGGCATAACAGAGGCATGTTAACAATAAAAACGCAAATACGCGAAAATGTGTGTATAAAATGTAAATAAAATCAGAGATCTGTACTCAAAATATATTTTTTTCATTTTATAAGCTTAAGATATAGCACTGAAAAGGCTTAACATTGTTCTCTCTGTTATTATGATATCGTAACAACAGAGGAAAGGCCATCTGTTGGAAATTGTTTACGTATCAATTGTCGTATCCTCCACACATACGGAATAGAGGTGGTTATGTTGTATTAATTAGCATTTACAAATACATACCCATACCCTCATCAACCTGTTCTAGTACATTTAGTTGGGGGGTTTCCCCAATAAACAGACGTGCTTGACAATTTGCTTCGTTGCTAATGTGTGTTTGTTTGCACACATACTTCTTTTAATAATTTGTTAATACCCTCCACCATAGTATGGAGGGTATATTAATTTTGTCATTCCGTTTGTAACTCATCGAAATATTCATTTCCGACCCTATAAAGTATATATATTCTTGATCAGGGTAAAATTCTAAGACGATTTAGCCATGTCCGTCCGTCCGTCTGTTGTAATCACGCTATCTTCTGAAGGAATTGAGATAGGGTGCTGAAATTTTGCATAGGGTTGTCGTCTTTTGGCAGCAGGCAGGTCAAGTTCGAAGATGGGATATATCGGTCCACGTTTAGGCATAGCTCCCATATAACGGTACCCCCAATTTTCGATATTTTGGGGTTCCTGACCGTGTTTTTCAACCGAATTCGCTGAAATTTGGTACGTTGGGTTCTTATTGGGTACTAAATGTCTCCATAGAAAATTATGAGTATATGTCCACTTTTTCTGGTAGCCCCCATATAACGGCACCATCTAATTTTCAGTATTTTTAAACCGAATTCTCTGCAATTTGGTATTTTGTAGTCGTATATGGTAACAAATCTCCCTACCAAAAATTATTTTTATTCGCCCCTTTTTGGGTTAGTCCCCATATAACCCCCTTTTTATATTAAAATAGTTATCTAATTAGTTCCGCGTTTTGGGTTTGGTTCTAAGAGTCTGTCGTAATCATTTACCCTGCGGAGGATATCGAGATAAAGTTAGAACGTAAGGTTCGATAATGAACTATAACCCTCATTTAGGCCTAGCACCTGTGTGTAAGATATCAGAGGGAGTGGACCGATAGTCCATATCTTCGAAACTGTACTAAGTTTGGAAGAATAATAAGATAGGCACAGGTTGGATAAAATCAAAATTTTCTGGAACATGATTCACATTATGGTTTACATAATCGCGTTGTAGAAATGTCGGCATAGGCCCACTTTGTGGTATTTTCC